GTAGTCAAAGCGAGTAGTCTGGAGTTTCGGAACTGCTTATGACGATTAGATTAAGGTATCTGCAATCCTAAAATGCTATGGGAAGGGAGGGAAACAGGTCCGCGACGTAGGAAGTGGTGAGGGAAGTAGTCAAGGCAAGTAGTCCGGAGTGTGGGAACTGGTTATGACGATTAGATTAAAGTATCTGCAATCCTAAAATGCTATGGGAAGGAAGGAAAAAAGGTCCGCGACGTAGAAAGTGGTGAAGGAAGTAGTCAAGGCGAGCTGTCCGGAGTGTGGGAACTGTTTATGACGATTAGATTAAGGTATCTGCAATCCTAAAATGCTATGGGAAGGCAGGAAAAAAGGTCCGCGACGTAGGAAGTGGTGAAGGAAGTAGTCAAGGTGAGCTGTCCGGAGTGTGGGAACTGTTTATGACGATTAGATAAGGGTATGGGCAATACTAAAATGCTATGAGAAGGGAGGGAAACAGGTCCGTGATGTAGGAAGTGGTGAAGGAAATAGTCAAGGTGAGCTGTCTGGAGCATTGGAACTGTTTATGATGATTAGATTAAGGTATTTTCAATCCTAAAATGCTACGGAAAGGGAGGAAAACAGGTCCGCGACGTAGGAAGTGGTGAAGGAAGTAGTCAAGGCGAGTAGTCCTGAGTGTGGAAACTGTTTATTACGATTAGATTAAGGTATCTGCAATCCTAAAATGCTATGGGAAGGGAGGGAAACAGGTCCGTGACGTAGGAAGTGGTGAAGGAAGTAGTCAAGGCAAACTGTCTGGAGCGTGGGAACTGTTAATGATGATTAGATTAAGGTATTTGCAATCCTAAAATGCTATAGAAAGGGAGGAAAAAAGGTCCGTGACGTAGGAAGTGGTAAAAGAAGTAGTCAAAGCGAGTAGTCTGGAGTTTCGGAACTGCTTATGACGATTAGATTAAGGTATCTGCAATCCTAAAATGCTATGGGAAGGGAGGAAAACAGGTCCGCGACGTAGGAAGTGGTGAAGGAAGTAGTCAAGACGAGCTGTCCGGAGTGTGGGAACTGTTTATGACGATTAGATTAAGGTATCTACAATCCTAAAGTGCTATGGAAATGGGGGAAATAGGTCCATGACGTAGGAAATGGTGTAGGACGTAGTAAAGGCGAGCCGAGTGTAGTTTGGGAATGGATTTATGTATCTCCAATACAGTACTAAGACTGCTTTCAGAGAGGACTAATGATTTCCCCCGAGCAAAGCTCGGTCCCCAGGTACTAGGGAATTAAGGCAACTGTATAATAGCACAGATGTGATTGGAGAAATCAAGTGCCGAAGAATCAGATGGGCTGGTGATATATTAAGGAGAGGTGAAGATTGTAGACTGGGAAGAGTTTTAAAGGGAAACACTACAGGAAGGCGACCCTGGGGAAGACCTAAGCAGAGGTGGTGGAAGCAAGTGCAAGAAGATTCGGAGAGAATTGGGGCAACGGAGGATGACGCGAAAGACCGGTTAACTTGGCGAAGATTTGTAGGTGTGACCAAATATCACCTCGGATATAAATGGCCCTGGGAGTAAGTAAGTATATCTCTATAACTGTTTAAGAATGTTTGGATTGAGAATATAAAATATAATTTTCTATAATAAAATCTCCAGTACCTACCTTTCTTTGGGTTCACTGCCAAGCGACCATACCCCCCACAATATACTATAACTATAAATACCATTGTACCAAAAAGTAGTAACACTTAAAAATACAACTGTTACATAAGTTAGTTACTTCTTAGCAATACAACTGTTACATAAGTTAGTTACTTCTTAGCAATACAACTGTTACATAAGTTAGTTACTTCTTGAATACGCTTATGCGAATTATGACAATGGAAATTAGTAAGGGCTGGTCTGTCCTCATAGGGCATCTTTAAAAAATGTTTACAAAAAAGTCTTGACCCTAAGCACAGAAAACATATTACTATACCCAGAGTGCCAACCGCATGGTAAAAAGCATTAAGTGTTTTGAGAGAGCTTTGCCTGTCAATCGTAGGCAGCGCCACCAGCGTTGCCATGCACTCAGCATAGCAACGCTGGTGGCGCTGCCTACGATTGACAGGCAAAGCTCTCTCAAAACACTTAATGCTTTTTACCATGCGGTTGGCATTCTGGGTTATAGTCAGGGGTGCCCAGAGGGGGGGTACTGTGGCGCGTTTGCGCCACAGGAATTTTTGGGGGGGACTTTTTTGAGGGGATTTTGGGGGGGATGTTTTTTGCTAGCTCTGTCATAATGAATGAATAATTTTGTATAAGCAGCCCGAAAAAGTGTTTCTAAGTAGCTCACTATCAACACCAACAACATTTTGCCATTCGTAATTAAGATTTGCTTCTAAGAATGGTAAAAACGCACCTTGTCAGACAATCCTTAATATACCAGTGTCAGTGTCGAATTGTATTTGCTACATTATGTTTTGGTGGTTCTTTACCTCCACCACACAAAACACGAATCGATTACAGATAGGCCTATCAATTCACGCGTATATATTGCCGTCGTCAGAACTGGAAGTAAACTGAATCAGGTTCAGGTTATGACGGACAGAGACGTGGTCTCTGGATTGTCGTCTGCATTGTCACCAGCTGATATAGGACTATTGTAGTGACTGAGAAGAGTGTTAAAAGTATAATGGGATTCATAATTGAGTGTTTTCACTCAACAATTTTGCGCTGTCCCTAGTTTTATGTATTTATATATTTCAAACTCCTCAAAGTATTTAATAAATTTCCTTTGTGCAGTACTGTACAATTTCGAGACCATAATTTATATCTAGCAGATAAATTGGTTATTATTGTCAATAATTTTAAATGGAAAACTCAATTATGAATCCCATTATATTTTCAACACTCTCCTCCGTCACTACAACTAGTCCAATATCAGCTTTTGAGACGACAATCCAGAGACCACGTCTTTCCGTCATAACCTGATTCAGTTTACTTCCAGTCCTGCCCGCGGCAACATACTCACGTGAATTGATATAGGCCTATCTGTTATCGTTTCGTGTTTTGTGTATAAACAGATTGTCTGACAAGATGCGTTTCTACCATTATTAGTCATAAAAGGCAATCCTGGGGCTATCAAAATTAATTATTTATAAGATTACTTCGTCCTAAAAACCTTTTGTGGGTATTTTGCCTGGCGATTTTTGTAGAGTAAAATCGAGTTTTTGGAGTGTGTTGTTTGGAGTGGCGGTGTTTGTAGAGCCAGGGAGTGGCGAGCAACAAGTCTGTCTTATTTCGTGACTGCCTATAATTTTGAAAAAAAAAAAAAAACTCTTTGCCAAGGTATTATTAATGCATTTTTAAAGCGGTTTGATTTCTTAAAATTCTTCTCTGAGATTCTTTCTCTGTAAAATTTAACGCCACCTAATATATTGTACAGTTACAATACTGTGTTGGAGTAGAGTAATTCACATAGTATATTGTTGTACTTTTTGAAGACGTTGTCTATTGCAATACTGAGCACATGTTAGCTGACAATAGAGATTCTGAAATGTAAATTGAAACACTTCTAATTCGTCCATTAGTTAGATACTAGTTTACATGTTGCTCGAATTCGAGCAATTGCAAAGTATTACAGGAGCTATTTCAAAACGAATAACGGTCATATTTACAATGAGTTTGAAAGAGTCAACTCAAAGATTGCCGGTGTGTAACTCAAACCATGTTTATCTTCGTTATTGATAAACCTAAAGCATTCCGACCGGTTTTCTCCTTCTCAAAATGCCTCGCTGTACAGGCAACACATATCATTGATAGAGGGCCAATTGAGAACGAAAAGTCGTTTTGGGGTAGTGTTAGGGCGCATTGGAGTATGTTTTCTTGTATGTATTCTTGAGGAGTATGTTTTATCTATGGTTAAGCCTATAGACGCGCCACTGATCGGTAGGTGCGGTCGTTATCACGATTGGGTACGCCTCTTGTCTATGTTTCGTTGTCGTCGCGTCGGAGACATTTAAAATAAAAAACAACAAATAAACAAATTATAGCTACAAAAAACAACGATAAATGCCCAAATTTCAGTTACAATCATGCTAACACGATCCGTCAAAGCGACACAAAACAACGATAAATACATAAATTTAAGATACAACCACACCAACACGATCCGTCTTGGAGGTTATGTTTACACAAACTCAAATAGTAAATAAATGTACTCAGTGCGTTTCATTGAATTTAAAAATAAATAACAACAATTAAATTATACAGCTGATCAAAATGTAAACAATTATGTTCTCCATAAGGATAACATAGGAACTTTAACAGCCACTGGGGCAGAGCCCAAAAGACTTTTTCAAAAATGTAAGGCCAGTTTGCAAATCTACGCGACACGCTCTTTCCAATGAGACGTCAATGGATAAAATCGGTTAAGAAATGGCGGAGGAGTTCAACCGACAAAGTTTCATGTAGCGTATTAATTATATAGATACCTAATGAAGTATTGTTAAATGTTGTTAACGTTTCCTATTACACATTTAATTTTTATTATCAGCAAGTTTGTTTTTCTTTACCTCAAGTTTACCAAATACTAAATTGGAATGCTCGTTTTATGAGGTAAAGGGAAAATTGTCAGATAAATTGGTGGGGGGAGGGTAGGTTTAAATAGACGGCAGCATAAATTGGGGGGGAGAACTACTCCTTTGGCTTGGGGGGGGGGGGGGGGGGGTTGGGCCTCTGGGTTTGGGGGGGATGGGCACCTCTGGTTATAGTAGTATGTTTTCTGTGCCCTAAGTCAAATTGTTTAGGTGAAATTGTTTTAATGCCAATCATTTGCACTTAGGCCTACAGATTCTGATTGAGGAACAAAATGATTTCTAGAAGTATAGTACAGACTATTTAATAATTTACATTTACTTGTACTCTATAAGTTTCTTGCTCCAAGTTTTGCTGTATAGCATTATGATTGTACAAAAATAAGGGTTGGATCACAATCAAATTGTAACCATTTCACTTGTATTGATTTCACAAGGTAAATCATTCATCACACTGTTGTGTTGCACTCAAAATTTATTTTCCACACAAATAATAAAGAATACATTTTACAATTATAAAAACTACTTAACTACATAAAAGCATCACTGAAAGTATATTCTTAATCCATGCCAATTGTTGGCTGATGTTTAAATTTTGGATTCTTTAACCAACAAAAATGTTACAAAAGCAGAGGTTTGGTAGTTTTAACAGGTAAGAACTAAGTTTATAATAGATAACAGGAATCATTAGCTAAAGAACACTCTTCTGTCCGTGGAATCAGAGAATTTTCTTTAGACAGCAGTGACAAGTAAAATTGGCATGGTCATGGTAGGCTATATGGTTGTTTTTTTAAGTAGGCTACCAGAGGGTTTAATAATCACACCTTAGAGTGCCTATTCAAAGTTCAAGAAAATTCAATTACAAAAAAGAAGTATAATAGACTAAACTTAACATAATTCTCATATCACGGCAGAATGGCATGTTTAAAATTTCTACCATAAGCGTTGATGATAGGCTAATCAATGTTAGAAAAACCAGAGTAAAACCTGTTAGTTATTGTACTTGAACAATCTTCCAGAGTGAGAACTTTTTTGTACATTAAAACATTCAAGATGTAAAATTTGATGTGTTTACTTATAAATTAATACTGAACGAATGTCACACTAGTGAGACAAAAATACTAACCTAAAACCTAAATCCATACCTTCATTTACATTGAGAGCAATATTTGTCTAAACGGAATGTACCTTCTGTTTGGACTTAAATCACTATAGGAACATTGTAATCAATGACAGTATAATGAACTTCTCTCACAAACACTAAAGGAACACAGATTCACTTGTAGATTCACTCATCATCACCTTCGTCCTCATCTGCAGCATCGTCTTCTTCTTCTTCCTCTTCAGACTTCTCTTCCTTGTCCTTCTTGGGTCGTCCTCTGCCTTTACCAGAACTCGCCTTGGCCTAGTTAAACAGCTTCAGTTAGTAATCATCCCTTTCCTTTATTTTTATTTTATATGTCTAAAGCAGCAGTTCCCAAAAATCTTGGTGTGGAGACCCACCAACTTCTTGGAATTTATTTCACACCCACCTCTACCTTGGAATTTTTTTCCTGACCCACCTATAAATATTATTAATAGGATATTATGATTATTTACTATCATAAAATTTCTCAATAGCATCATGTACACTGAGAAACACACAACCAAATAAAAATTGGAGGATGATATTTTTGAAAATACAATATTTTTAATCCAAAACATTAATATTTGACAAACTTGTTGTTTAACAGGAAGTTTATATTAGCCTAACTAAGCCTTCCTGTTGATTTTATTTCTAAAACTCAATAATTATCATAGTACAATTTACCTCGTCAAGTAATCAAAATTTTGTAGATTTAATAACCTAGGTACATGTTTTGCTGTTAATACGGACGGCATTGTCAGTGTTACAAAACATCGTTGTTGCTGTCACATGCATACAAAATAATGAATGTTCTCTTTAACAGGAAAATACCAATATAGATAAGACAAAACAATAATTAAATTACTATTGATAGGCCTACCACACTACGCGGTCGGTCCTGGCTCAGGTAGAAGACTGCAGTGTCTACTTCTTGTTTTTGTCCACGTTATCATACTCACAACCACAACAGAAAGAACTGTAAGTTTTTCAGGGTGACTACTACATTCTGGATAAAAAATTCATGGACAATTCCCGTACATTTAAGGACACTTTGCCGTAACCTTTGTCGGTGTCATTAGGCCTACCGAATAATTTTCCTGATTTGTCAAACTGTATTAATCTTGTTATTCACTGTAGTTGTACGAGAGAGAAAAGTAAATAATGATAGATAAGAGTTAAAAATTACAAAATAGAAATTTATTGAAAGTAAACAAACATAGGCCTACCTATACTTTAGGTAGGCCTAAAGCTTTTATAGTGTAACAGAGAAACGCAATCATTGTCTCCTGCGATAGCGACAAATATCTCCATCCGTCACGTAAACTTCATAACATAGCTTATCCGATCCAGGCGGATTAATTTGGCATGATCCGCCCTGGCACAACGTTAGGTTCTCGACTACTTTTGAAAAAAAAAATCTTTAATGCATATTGTTACTCAATTCTTAGTACAAAATCAAGGTATGGTAAGCGGCTATTAATAAGCAATAAGCACAGAGTAAGGTTATTGTATTTTCATTTGTAAAGTTAATATCGACACATAGCAATCATTAGTTGTTTATCTTGGGCTCAATTACATTTTCTTAATATATTTTACAGCTCTTTCAAGAATCAAAATACCCAGGCCTAAGCCTAATTATTTAGGAGGGCCTATATAAACTGAGTAACAAACAATGAGGTTATAATAGCAGCAAAGTTACTATCATCATTCTAGTTCATAAGATTTTGATTGCTTAAAGCATACAACTCAATAAATAAATATATGGGAAACAAAAAACATTGAAACCTGAATAGCCAACAATATAAGACAAAGATACAGAAAATGCAATGACATAATTTGAAACCAAGCAGGCCTTAAAAAAGGGGTTAACTTACAAAATAAGACTGTAGATTATTTACATGTTTAATATGAAACCATAAACAGTTTTATGGCACTAGGCACTGGCCGCGGCAAATTGAATCTTCAAGCCAAAAGTACAAGTAAGAAGTGAAATTTAACAGCCATTATAAAGCTATTATTTTCATGATAAAATAGGTTTGGGATCTAATAATAATACCCTAGTAATAAAAAAAGAAGTTGTAAATGAATAAAAGTGATATAACTTTTATGAGCTAGCTGCTGAGTCAACAGTTCTTATAGATATACCACGAACAAAACAACCTGCGCAGAAACGAAAAGATCACGTGGTTCGCGCAGGTAGGTGGGCCGTACCATTGAAACCTGCGCGGCTCGAAACGGCCGAGGGTTCTTTTGTTTCTGGTATTACTATAGAAGTACTTGACTTGACCCTTGATTGGCGTGATAAAATATTAATGGGTTTGAGATTGTTAATGGGATTTTTATTGCATAATTACTCTAGTAATAAATTATGAAAATGTAAACAAACATCTGATAAACCTTTTATGTGCTCCTAACCAACTAGCGATCAATAAAATTATGGCCCATTAAAAATTTAAGGACATTGTCTGGCATTTAAGGACAATTCCCGTACATTTCATGGCCAATAAAAATTTAAGTACAATTCCCGGTTTTCCCGGATTTCCCGGTTGGTAGACACCCTGTTTTGCAATATAATTTTTATGAAGAAAAGTGAAGTAAAACAATTTTGTTTAGGACTCTAGTTCTAGCCTGGAATTGTTTTACACATTACTTCAGGCTAGTCCTAGTTAGTTGCGGCATTGTCACGTAGATAAAATCCAATATTATAATGATTGGCGGGATTTGAGCTCGGGACCTTTGGCACCGAAGCCCCGCGTTCTAAGACCAGCTCGCTCCCCAAGAAAACTGCACTAAGAAGATAGAAACTTGCAACTGAAATAGACACCAGTAACAAGACTCTTCCTAAAAATAGTCTCGGTTGATAAAAATATTGTACTATGGGAAATTCTTCGCTGTACACACAACACAGGTCAATGCCAGAGGGCCAATCGTGAAAGAAGTCATCTCTATCAATGCAAAAACAAAAGGTTATTTTATAATAAATTTCCCACATTTACCTTAGGTTTTGCAGCAGCTGATGTTCCTTTTTTGGGTCTTCCCCTTCCTCTTTTAGCCGGAGCTTCACCATCTTCCTTTTTTGCCGCTGATTTTTCAACTGCAGGTTTAGCCCTTTTCTCGGCCTTCTTTGCTTCTTCAGATTTAGGCGGACGACCCCGGCCTTTCTTCTCAACAACTACTCCGTCGTCAGACATATTAGTGACAAATGGATGACCTAAAAAGGATGAACAAATTAATAGCTGGGTAGCTGAGTGGTAACAGTGCTAAACTAGTTAGGTTATCAGAAGTTTGCCTGTTTGATCTTGTGAAAAAGTTAAATATGGGTTTGATCATTGGGCTTTCAATGAATGGCCCTGGCTAAAGAACACTGATCTTATGCAGTAACAAAAATATCATGTCACTTTTCCAACACCTGCCTTCCCAAAATACCCACCCAGGTCTGTCGGCATCTTAAAAGCTAATCTAATTTAACACCTTAATAGAGTAATCCGATCCAATCGCAGTTCAGATCAGACAATCATAGTAGGCAGTTCAGATTACCAATTTGTTCAGATTTTCAAACATAACCTAGAAATAACTAAAGCTGGGTTTTCCTAGGCGTGGAAGCGGAGAGAGGAACGCGAAGAGCGGACTCCACTTGTCTTTTAGGCAATTTAATGTCTCAGCTGTTTTGCTAGAAGCGGAGCGGGACGCTACATTAATCGCTTTTCCGCCCTCCGCTCTCCAAGCTCCTCTTCTGCGTCTAGGAAAACCCGGCGTAATAGACACATGATTAGGTCTAAGAGTATTTAAAATACAGTTATAGGATACACTAAATAAAATCAAAACAAATGTTTTGTACTTAGGTATTTTTGGTACATTACTGTAGTTTGTTTTTTGAAAAAATAACTCATGTAGAGTTTATGCATTGGAAACAAACAAAACACTGACTGGCACAGCGCATTATCTCATTCCTCCACTGGGCGCTGACTGTTAAGCCCGCAAAATTGTAAAACATCTGTTGTCTCTGTGCTAATTCAATATATTTTAAAACCCTCAGGAGTAGTTCGGATTTCTGACGTTCGGATTTTCGACACTACTGTATTACATACGAGTAGCCTGCACAAAGTAATAGCCTATTATGGTTTCTCTTAAAATGTCTGTTGTTTATTTAAATTCCCAATTTAAATAAACATTAGATTTAACGAGTGCTTAGGTTTGCTGCTACGGGGAAGGTAGCCTAAAAAGTGTTTTTTGACCATATGTCAATAGTATAGAATGAAATAAATAAATTTGCCAAATTTTATCAACATATATCCATAAGCAAGTAAACTACAACAGTAGTTGTATATATTTTCTCAACTAAGATATTTTCATATTTTCTTTTAAATATTTTCTCATATATTTTTTCCATAAGAATAACATTGGAATTTTAAATTACATTTTTTTTTTTTCTCCGGCATAAAACAGCGCTTCAATATACTAAATTATTTCTTTTTTTAAGCTCTACAAAATGGTTAAGAAAGAAATCTCAAAAAGTTTTTACTTTTAGGGTTAAAAATTGTAAAAATCCATTTTCACCCCATAAAACCCCCCATAATCCCCTGTTCCCATGGTCCGATTATGCTAGTTCGCGAACTCGTTTGAATAAACGTAGTTTACACGTTTGTACCAAATTTCATCAAAATCGGATCATATTTGCTCGAGTTATCGCGCTAACGGACACATATATAAATATATGAATTTGAACGAATGGTGATTTTGGCCCCTGGGGACCTCAAAACGAAAAAGTAAATCAGTCCCGGGTCTAGGTCTTACCATGAGACCTACGGTAATAGCTTATTCCCTATATGGGAAATTCGCTAAAAGACCAATGTAAGAAAAAATATTCATATTGATTCAACTAAAAATTTCAAAATGGCTGCAATTTTAATTTGTTAAACGTAAATAACTCAACAACGGCTAATTTTATGAAAAAATGTCAAGAACACTATTATTTAGCATTTTTAGCGAATTTCCCATATAGGGAATAAGCTATTACCGTAGTACTCATGGTAAGACCTGGACGCGGGACGGATTTTTTTTTTGTTTTGATGTCCTTAGAGGCCAAAAACACCATCCGTTCAAATTCATATATACAGGGTGTCACAAAAAAGTGTGATGGGCTATACAGGACCTAATTCTACATGCAAAAATAAGTCAAAAATGAAGGATAAGATTTTTTGGATTTCGGCTTAGTTTAGCCGTAATCCGCCATTTTGTTTTTTGGGGAAAATATTTATTATTTCAAAATCCCTTTGAGATATTTTTACGAAACTTGGCAAAATTGTTTACACTATAGTAAGTAACATTTACAAAAAAAACTATTATTTTAACTTTCCAAATTTCAAAATGGCGGCCGTTTGAATTTTTTAATGCCAAATTTCATGAAAACCGGTACCTAAATCAAAACTTTGTAAGACACAAAAGTTTTAGTATTTATTATGACAAATCCAACAAAACAAAAATGAATAAAATCGGTTCATAAATAAAGAAGCTGTGTTTATTTTAGTAATTTAGACTGAAATTATTAATATTAAAATGTATTAAATGTAATGTAATAATTTATGTAACGTATTAAGTAATTTCAGTCTAAATTACTAAAATGAACACAGCTTCTTTATTTATAAACCGATTTTATTCATTTTTGTTTTGTTGGATTTGTTATAATAAATACTAAAACTTTAGTGTCTTACAAAATTTTGATTTAGGTACCGGTTTTCATGAAATTTGGCATTAAAAAATTCAAACGGCCGCCATTTTGAAATTTGGAAAGTTAAAATAATATTTTTTTTTTATAAATGTTACTTACTATAGTGTAAAAAATTTTGCCAAGTTTCGTTAAAATATCTCAAAGGGATTTTGAAATAGGCCTAATAAATATTTTTCCCAAAAAACAAAATGGCGGATTACGGCTAAACTAAGCCGAAATCCAAAAAATTTTATTCTTCATTTTTGACTTATTTTTGCATGTAGAATTAGGTCCTGTATAGCCCATCACACTTTTTTGTGATACCATGTATATATTTTTATATTTATATATATATAAATAAAGATTAAACATTAATAAACTTAGTACCCAAGTAAAATTATCTATTAAAATATTTACTGACTATAGTTTCGCCTCTAAGGCCATTTTCAAAGACTTTGAAAATATAGTATTTTATTTATATATATAGTAGCCCTATTTTATATATAGTAAAATATTTATATATAGTAGCCCTATTATTTATTTTATATATATATATATATAGTAGCCCTATTTTTCTATCTTGCATATATATATATATATTTTGTTATTGTATACATCAATGAGGGCTACTTTAAATGTTACTAAGCAAATCAAAATACCACAGTACCCTAAAAACATTTTATTTTATATTACTTACATGTTTCGGACATTAATGCCATGATCACAGTATAGTATATAACCTATTAGTTTCTTTTATTTACAAACATTATTAGATATTTCTTATTAAAGAACAGGTGATAATTTTTATATTAAGGGAAGGAGGTGTTTTCTTTAAGATGTATAATTTCATTGAATATTACGTTTTGATTTTGAATTTGTGTCAAGTTTAGTAAATTGTCTTTGTCATTAATATGATGAGTATAAATATAAAAGTCTTCCTTTGTATTCATTTTTTCACCTTTATTTTCAATATCCAGAATGTGCATATTTTTATTCATTTCTGAGTATGTATGGTCGGTCTGAAGTATATGTTCGGCGTATGAGGATTTTTGTGTTGTCATATTGTTTGATCTGATTGCCTGTATATGTTCTTTGTATCTGACTTCAAATGTTCGACCTGTTTGACCAATATAGTATTTTTCACAGTTGTTACATGATAATTTGTAAATTCCTGATTTCTTATATACATTTGGTGGGTTGGGTATCGGATTTGTTATTTTTTGTATTATGTTAAAAGCGTTATTCCTTGTTTTATAACTTAGTTTAAATTTTGAGTTTGGTAATGTCTTTCTTAAGGTTTTGTTTAAGGATGAGCTGAATGGAATACATATAAATTCTTTCTTTACGTTTTCTTGTTCTTCTACTTTCATTCTTTTTGTTTTTTCATTTTTTATTAATTTTTCAATCATTTTTTCTTTGTATCCATTTGTTCCTGCAATTCTTTTTATAGTTTTCTTTTCTATTTCAAAGTTTTCTTTAGACATTGGTATGTTAAGTAGTCTAAATACCATTGATTTGAATGTAGAAATTTTGTGTTGCCAAGGATGGTTTGACTCAAATGGAATGATTAGGTCAGTTTGGGTAGGTTTCCTATATATATTGAAATTATGTCGATCGTTTTCTTTAGTAATTGTTATGTCTAAGAAATTTATCTTCTTTTCTTGTGTCTCCATCGTAAATTTAATTGTTGGGGAGATAGAATTTAGACATAACAATTACTAAAGAAAACGATCGACATAATTTCAATATATATAGGAAACCTACCCAAACTGACCTAATCATTCCATTTGAGTCAAACCATCCTTGGCAACACAAAATTTCTACATTCAAATCAATGGTATTTAGACTACTTAACATACCAATGTCTAAAGAAAACTTTGAAATAGAAAAGAAAACTATAAAAAGAATTGCAGGAACAAATGGATACAAAGAAAAAATGATTGAAAAATTAATAAAAAATGAAAAAACAAAAAGAATGAAAGTAGAAGAACAAGAAAACGTAAAGAAAGAATTTATATGTATTCCATTCAGCTCATCCTTAAACAAAACCTTAAGAAAGACATTACCAAACTCAAAATTTAAACTAAGTTATAAAACAAGGAATAACGCTTTTAACATAATACAAAAAATAACAAATCCGATACCCAACCCACCAAATGTATATAAGAAATCAGGAATTTACAAATTATCATGTAACAACTGTGAAAAATACTATATTGGTCAAACAGGTCGAACATTTGAAGTCAGATACAAAGAACATATACAGGCAATCAGATCAAACAATATGACAACACAAAAATCCTCATACGCCGAACATATACTTCAGACCGACCATACATACTCAGAAATGAATAAAAATATGCACATTCTGGATATTGAAAATAAAGGTGAAAAAATGAATACAAAGGAAGACTTTTATATTTATACTCATCATATTAATGACAAAGACAATTTACTAAACTTGACACAAATTCAAAATCAAAACGTAATATTCAATGAAATTA